TCTAACATTTTGAATTCAGGCCTCAGTGGGGTTCGAAAGTTGCAAACTTTCAAACTGCACTGAGGTTCAAATTTAAAAAGTTGGAAATTTCCAAGGTTTCTAAAAGTTCTGGTTTGACGATCCCGCTCCCAGTGACCAACATAAGGAGAGAATGGGCATTTATTCGGGGACCATACATGTCACAAGGGTTCCCCAGAACTTGCACGACACACCACTGGCCACACAGTTCTGGGGCAGGGCACATCTTCATCGGCAGACAGGTGCTTTTCAGATCCTCCTTGAGGCCCAGCTGGCCGTAGGCATTGCAACCCCACGCCCATGCCGTGCCGTCGCCTGGAAGCAACAAGCAGTGTCGAAGTACACCCCCAAAAGAATACAGGCAGGAACTGGCCGTCTGAGCAAACACTTTCTGCCAGATGCAAAAGCTACGCCAGCACACCACACCCTGGAAACGATCTGCATCCGAAAGCGTAAAACAGGGCACTAAAAGATTGTTGTTAAGCGCGAAACGCATGTACGACGAAACCGTCCGATCCGACGTCCGACCGCGCAATACGACGGTCGGAGGCGAGGGTTTTCAACGCTCTCCGATGCTACGAAAACCCTCTTCCCCCATGGTCATTCCGGCAGTCCGCACGTCGGATCGGACGGTTTCGTCGTACATGTGTTTCGCGCTTTATGGGCGACACTTTGCAAAAATATCGAAAAAAAAAAAAAAAAAAAACAATTTGGAGAAACATGCGCGCCCAAGGCGTTCCATTGGGTTCTTCCACTCTTTCCTAACTAACCAGCAAGGAGGAAAGCGCAGTAGCCTTTTCCCCCTTTTCTCTTTCAGAACAACGGTCCATACCTAATCGAGGGAATCTCAAATTTAAAAAAAGAGAAGCTCAAGTGATGAACACAGGTTGTCAAATCATCCCGGCCGGAAGTCGGGTCTTCCGGCCGCCTGCGTCCCGCGGGGGAGGGCAAAGAGGAGAGCCCCGGCGTCCCACCAGTAACGGTGCGACGAAGGGAGTCTTCCTGTGGTCTGCTTCAAACACTTGTTTTCAAACATTACTCGCATTATACGAAATCCCACTTTGGCAGTATGCAGTTGTTACGCGTAATGTTGGATGGTTTGAGAAACTTCCACCGCGCTGACCCACTTACTGCACGGATCACCGAGCACTGGGCGCGGTCGTCAGCCGACCACGATGGCAAGGAGAATAAACCACGTCGTACCTCCATCCTCAGGTACGTGACAGCACCATTCCGCCCGCATTGCACGACCCTGCTATAGCGCTTTTACTTCTTCACACATTAGGGAGTTGTAGTAGATCGTTTTTCTCCTCCGCTACGACATCCCCGAAGAAAACGCCGCAGCTGCGCCTGCGCGCCGCCAGCCTTGTCTGCATAGTTCAAGGTCTTGTGGCGGATTACGGAGCGCTACCCGGGTGCTTAGCGGGCTGCGGAAACGGTCTACTACAATTCCCTATTAAATGAATACTACCACGAAATTTCGGCGCTTCTTTTTTTCTTGTTTATATGTGTTCAAAGGAGCAGTATCACATCGGGCACACCAATATCTTGTTAAAAAAGACACGAAAAGGAATTTTAAAACGAATTAAACGATTAGCAAAGAGCACCTGGTGGATGTCGCTAACGCCTCGTTTGTAATGCCCGTCTAAGAAACTTGACAGGTAGTGACGGTAACTGTCTCGCCTCCGACCACCACGAGAGAAGAGGGGAAGGAGCAACTCCCCTCTTTCCTAGAATCTCTTCTGTGTGACCCAGAAGTCGGTATTGTCCCTCTACAAGGTTATAGAAGATTAACCCGTCACTCAAAATTCATACAAAAGCAGCCGCTTCGGTGGCTGGAACGACTTGGACATCCTCTCGACGTCAGCCTCGTCGCAGCTTTGCTCGTCCTGAGACAAACCATGTCATGATTGAACCGGATGTCACGTTCTCTCCGCTGGCTGCTTTCCGAGCGCTTGCCCGGAGTGGGCCGCTAATAACTAAAAATACAGCCACCAAACTCAAGATACAAACGTGCGATAGTCATTTACGAATATTGTGGATCATATTCAACCTATTTTCGAACACTCGGGTATATTTCAAATTTCGTTGAAGTATCCCTTTAAAAGCAAGAAATATTACTTTTTTAGTATTTAAAAGAGAAAAGTTGTAAACATTAAGCATTCCTTTTTTTATCTGCAAGAATTCTGTTATACGACGCATAATATTTCATAAATGGAAAATGCTTCCACACAACTCCCAATGCCTGTCTTGCACTGGGTGCCATCTAAGACTATGGAAATCGATAGCAGTGGACGAAGGTTGTTTTACAGGCACTTCTGGTACAACTAGAAATGTAATGACGATAACAAATGAGATTAAACATTAATTTCCTCGGTAATAATGCCACTTCCACAGCAGGTGCAAGGCTGCTTCTGGCTTTTCTGGGGCTCTGGAGAGCATGTTTTCCATTTGCGCTATGGGCAGTGGTGGAACTGACAAACGGTGGTCAACAGGTTTTGGAGCAGAGATTCCCACTTTTGGAGCAGACAATCTTGAATTATAATGTCAAATTGTTTAGGTTAGCCTGGGGAAAAACTTGAGTTGTTGGAGTGGACCTGGCCACTACAGATAATCATGTCGTATTACACCTGAGACTGCGGTGGAAGAAATCGGAAGAACTTTCAGTAGAAGGAACAGACACAGAGAACGTCTCATTTTGAGACGTTCTCTGTGTCTGTTCCTTCTACTGAAAGTTCTTCCGATTTCTTCCACCGCAGTCTCAGGTGTAATACGACATGATTAGCTACCACCAGCTCGCCTGCACTCTCACCGTCTTTTCACTACAGATACTTATTTATTTATTAAATAATAATAATAATAATAATAATGGTTTATTTTCCAGTGCCCACAACCTAGCTGTCTACTGTGTGGTGCACAAACATGCCCTCCTCACGTCCAAGGCAATGTACGGTATAAACTACCTACGTGTTACAGGAGCACAAAAGCGCAAACTAGAGGTGCTGAACAGAGAGGCAATGAGGTTGGTCACCGGCCTCCCCAGATTTGCCCCAATAGAGGAGCTCCACAAACACTTCAAAATCAATACTCTGGAAGATAGGGCCGAAATCCATCGCATCGCACAAGTCCAGAGACTCGAGCGAACCAGACCCGGAAGGGCCATCCTCCAGCTGCTTGAGTATCAGCTAATGGGCCGCCCCACGATCTCTCCTCCTCCATCCCCGTGGGAGGACGAGGCAGTGGTGGACCATCGCCCCATGAAGCAGAACGTAGACAAAGACCAGAAGGGCAGAAGGAACAACGCACCCAAAAAACACGCGGAATCCGTACAGGACGCCCGTCCCGGCTCCGAAACAGTACACGTCTACACCGACGCTTAAACAAAAATTCAGCTGAACTCGCAAAGGTTGTTCCCAAGCTTCTAATTTCCCACTTATGAGCTCTGTTAAATTTAATTTAGCTATAGGTATAGACCCCAAAAGAAAACAGAATCAATCGAAAGAAACCGTTTCAATCTCCGTTTCCAACGGACCGACGTCACAGCGCCGTTCAACGTGCGAAAGATTTCGGGATTTCCCACAAACGGTCTCCAAGTTTCGTTTTCTATGCAGTGTTCGATAAAACTGGTAGGAGGAAAACTTGTCAGCGCACGCGTGCATCGCACTACTCGTGCATTTGCTACCTCTGTACTTGCTCCGAAAAACAAGAAAACGCAATGCAAGAAAGTATAAAACTGCTTACATTAGGATGGCAAGTAATTGACAGATTTGACATAAAATTAAATCTATAAGGAAGCCCCACCATACCTAATTGAGGGGATTTATAATTCTTCTTGCTATATGAAAATATTTTCTTCAATTCTGAATTAAAACAAAACAAGCATAAGTAATGAACACAGGTTGTTAAAACATCGCTGCCTAACATACACCCTTGCATGAAAGCCAAGATTGAAGATTGTACTGCAATATAAATATCACCAATCCCGTTTTCTTTCTTTTATTAGACCAGGTGTGCTCGGCGTTTGTTTCGCCTAAGTGCATGGCTGCGCTGCGGCGAAGCGAGTAGCGAGATCGCGGTGTCAGCTCCGCGGTATTGCTTCCCTGCAGTGTATCGGTGCTTGAAGAGAAGTGCATTCAAGGGGGCTAACCCGCCGCGATCAACACTTAGAAAAGTATAAATATTGCAGTTAATGTCGAAGTGAATATCAAATAGCGTATCATTTGAAACTAGTATTTGATAATTCGATTATTCGCGCAGCCCTATTCTTCGTACATAGCACTTAGGCATCCAAAACAACTGCACCTTCTTAATTTTCAGTGGCATCACCAATAATGCCACGTGCCAGACACTTTCAGCTCCCTTTCGGCGCAGATATGGCGCAAATTGTGCACAAATACAACCTTTGGAGCAGCATGTAGCAGGGCATGCGGCGGACCGCTCAAAACCGGTCCGCCGCAACGCCTGCGCTGGCTCCTTTCCTCCTCGCTTTGGGTCGCCATGGCAACAGCAGGGAGTGGTGAAAGGAAGTCGACTCTCAGGTCTCCGCAATTTTTGACGTCAAGGCACCGGCGCCGATCGCGCGGGAACTTCGAATTCGGCATTTGGAAATTGTTTTTTTACTTCACGAATACTGAATTCCCAAATCTCAAATTTTGAGGGTAATGTCCCGGCATCGTTTTCAATCGTTTCGGATAATAAAAAAAAATATGATTTTGATGTGTCAGTGCCCCTTTAAGAGTTTTCCGCAGGGTAGGAAAATCCTCCTTGCCACCCCCCTCGTCGTCAAAATAAGAGTGGGAGAGGGGGAAATGGGAAAGGTGGCGAGGAGGATTTTCCTACCGTGCGGAAAATGATGTGGTCATTTTGGTCAATGTGAAAATTCACATTTGAAATACGACATTTCGGTTTAGTGAAAGTATAAGCTTTTAGTAAAAATTCAGTTGAAACTTGGTGCTGAGGTACTCCTTCCTCATATTTTTGTTGGTGCTATATTCGTGAACAATTTACAGACTTGCCCAATTAACTATTTTCCAGCCGATGTGGTAGAGTAGATCCGAGCAATATGATGGCGTGAGATGTTCAATTACAGGAACGTAGTGCAAGTTTCCAAAGTGAAGATATTTCTCTAAATTATAATTCACTGAGCAGGGCCGGATTATCCAGGTTTGAATAAACCAGGCCCTACTTGCAGAGCAGACCCCCCCCCCCCCCCCCCCCCACAAGCCTCAAAGATGTTGTGCTTGCCAGGAATTTTTTTTTTTTTTTTTTGGGGGGGGGGGGGTGGGGGGGGGGGGACTGAGGTGGCTGGGATGTCT